TCTCTGTTTTCTCCTGCAGATACTCCGATTTCTGCCATTTTCAACTTGTTGTTCAAGTTCAGAATGGGTGATAGAAGAGGAGCTGTCGAAGTTTTCAAGAGTCTCTCCAACAAAAGCGAGTTCACAATAGTGGCAAGCATTTGTTCGGCGTTGCTTCTGTGATAGAAACTGTAATTTTAACCGTTGAGTCTTCAGAAATCTTTGAAGGAGCTGCAATTTGGAAAATTGTTTTCACTTTAGGAGAATATAATTTTCTCTCAAAATATACAAAAATAATATACTTTAAAACCATCGTGACAAAATTCAAAAACGAAGAGTTCTTCTCTCCAAATTTTTTTCAAAATCAAAAAAATGAGATAAAAAAGTACGTTTGGAAAATTCATTTTTAGCATTTTAGGAATTTTCTCACTTTTCTTCCAAATTGACATCCTTAATTAAATTAAATTACACATTAACACCGGAGCCGGAATCATCTTGGATATCAGATGATGATTTATCTTTAGATGGTTTCCTGCAGAAAACGAAGTAGATGATGAGAATAATAAGAATAACAGCAAGAAGAACGCCAATAACAATACCAGCCTTCTGTCCACCAGTAAGTCCACTATTTTCAGGTGTTGGTGTTGGCTTGGAATCATCAGGGCTTGGTGCAACGTATTGTTGTTTCTGAAGTGAAACCTCCGTTTCAATGACATTGGATCCAGCTAACCTAATTTGAAGTTTAACTTTTCCATCTTCTTTGATATCTTCATACTTTGGAGCTGGAATGTTGAGTAGATATGTTTTGCCTTCGTCGGCATGTAATTTCTTAATTGCAGATGGGGTTTCTACTTCAGTTACATTGTCGTCTGGGAGATCTATCCATTTCTGATCTGCATAGAATCTATATTGGAAGCTTCCTGTCTTTGCCTCAAAGTGTTGTAATGTAACTTTAACTGGAATATATTCACCGGCCTTGAATGGTTGTGTATGATTTTCAGCAACAACAGTTGCCGCAGATAAATATGGAGACTTTCCAAGAGAATATGTAACATTACCGGTACCTAAGTTGGATTTATGATCGGCGTCGGTCTCAACAACAACAAGTAACTTTGTCTTATTATGATCCTTTGTAGCGTTAACTTTGAAAGTCCATTCTTTCTTGTTCCCGCTTGCTACGGCTGTTGCATTGAGAACATTTTGTGATATTGCGACGCTAGTGGCAGAGGCGTTGGAAGCTTCGCTTTCTGTTGCAAAGAGATAATATGTCTTTGTAATATTTAAGCCTGTTTCGAGTATGATTTTGGCTGTGTATGGATTGCCTGAAATTACTTCGTTGCCTTCGTTGTATTGAACACTCTCGATAACTGGTGTGGGGACTGTGGAAGAATATGTAACATTACCGGTACCTAAGTTGGATTTATGATCGGCGTCGGTCTCAACAACAACAAGTAACTTTGTCTTATTATGATCCTTTGTAGCGTTAACTTTGAAAGTCCATTCTTTCTTGTTCCCGCTTGCTACGGCTGTTGCATTGAGAACATTTTGTGATATTGCGACGCTAGTGGCAGAGGCGTTGGAAGCTTCGCTTTCTGTTGCAAAGAGATAATATGTCTTTGTAATATTTAAGCCTGTTTCGAGTATGATTTTGGCTGTGTATGGATTGCCTGAAATTACTTCGTTGCCATCGTTGTATTGAACACTCTCGATAACTGGTGTGGGGACTGTGGAAGAATATGTAACATTACCGGTACCTAAGTTGGATTTATGATCGGCGTCGGTCTCAACAACAACAAGTAACTTTGTCTTATTATGATCCTTGGAGCGTTAACTTTGAAAGTCCATTCTTTCTTGTTCCCGCTTGCTACGGCTGTTGCATTGAGAACATTTTGTGATATTGCGACGCTAGTGGCAGAGGCGTTGGAAGCTTCGCTTTCTGTTGCAAAGAGATAATATGTCTTTGTAATATTTAAGCCTGTTTCGAGTATGATTTTGGCTGTGTATGGATTGCCTGAAATTACTTCGTTGCCTTCGTTGTATTGAACACTCTCGATAACTGGTGTGGGGACTGTGGAAGAATATGTAACATTACCGGTACCTAAGTTGGATTTATGATTGGCGGCGAACTCAACAACAACAAGTAACTTTGTCTTATTATGATCCTCTGGAGCGTTAACTTTGAAAGTCCATTCTACTTGTTCGTATTTATATCCAGTGAAGATAGAATAGAAGTTTGGAGATGGTGTATAGAACTTTATACCTCGAACTGAAAAATCTTCTAACTTTGACAATAAGATATCCCAAGCATCTAACATCTTCCTTCCAACTTGTACAACTTTTATTTTCTTAAGTTTCTGTCTACATTCTTGTTCAGACACTATTGTTGCTCTTGGTTTGTTAAAGACAACATCCCATTCTTTCATGACATAACATTCTGGGGCAGAGTCAACATAAATGACTAAACGTTTCAAATTCTCGACTGCTTTGTTATAGTCTCGAAATGGACACATATTTCTGAATGCTTGGAAGTCATAAAAATCTGAAACATCTATTCTGTACATTTTTTTATAAAAATAAAAAAAAATATTTTTTTATTCTTGAGCTTGTTGTTCCATTTGTTCTTTGTTGTTTGTTCTTGAGCTATTTGTTGTTGAAGTTGTTCTTGTAATACAATACTTTCACCAGTTGCATCTTCCAATTCGAAACTTTCTGCCGTCATTGACAAATACATAGGACATAAAAGTTTTACAGGAACAAAGTTTGCGTCAACTAAGGTTAAGTTTATTGCTAAAGTGTTTGAGTTTACTAAAGCTGAAAATCTGCATTCGAATGAACAATAGGCAAACCAGCAGAGAAAGTATTGTTTATACGCATAAGTATCTTTTGGTCATAATAGTTTCTGTCGACATTCGAATAACACTTTGAACCTAAGTTTGAAACAATATATAAGATTGGTGTGCTTAAAGTCAATGGAACAGACATTCCTTGTATGACACCTTTTCCTGTTATAGGAAACTGTTGGTAGTAAAAACCAGATATAAGTTTTGTATTATAACTCATATCGTTTATAGTAAACTCAGTCGGACATCCAAACATAATGAAACCTGCTCTAGTTGCAGCACATGTTACACCCGTCCTTAAAGTATTAAATAAGTCAACAAAACCTGTTGGTGGTATATCTGAGTAAGTATCTTCAAAGGAGTATTTTTTACCATTCACAACAATAAAGTCTTCTGGTGTCAAAAGAGCAAAACAGGCTTTAGTCGTCATTGTGTTTAAGGTTAGTTTACAATATCGTCCTTGAGGACTTTGTAAGTTTGTTGTTATAGAATTATATGACTCAGGGTTTTTAGTCGTAATAGTATAAACCATTATGTCTTCTGCCATTTACTTAGCAAATAAATTTTAATGAAATGTTGTGGTCGTCAAATATTTTTATAACGTCTGGGAAACTATATTTTAAGTTCAACGTTTCACCTCCTTTCATAACGTATATCTTGTCAATGACATTATATGAAACACCACAGCAACTAATGTCGGGTTCTATTTCTTTGATGTTTATATCGTCTGCCTCTGTCAAAAGTTTCAATAGTTCTTTCAAAACTTCATGAGGTGCAATGACATATGAGTTCACTTTTACAGGGTTGTGTTCGACCAAGTTTAACATTATACTTAAAGCTTGACAAATCTTCTCCTGAGTTTTAAGTTTGTCTTTCAGTTGTTGGTAGTCGTTTCGAATATCTGCAACAGAACTTAAGTCTCTGCTAACTTCAGGATATGTTGGTTGTTCTTTTACAGGAACTATTGTTATACCATCTTCGTCTTCGTATGGTTTCCCCACTTCAACATCTCTGTCTTTGACATTGACAACAACACTTTGACTGTTTGTTTGAGTTGGTGAATTTAACTTCACATCTGCCACCGCCATTAAACCTTTTGAAACACTTACACTTCTATTTTTCGGAAATGACATTTTACTTAGAATAAAAAGATGGACGTATTCAGATATCTCTTCGAATTGAAGCAAAACAAAGTTTACACACACAAACAATACAAATACATTGACAGAATAGTTCTTTACACAAACAATGGAAAATGTTATAGAATAGCAGTCTTTGCTGAACCTAAATATTTTCATAAAGCAAAGAAAGTTGGTATAACTGAAATGGTGAAAGTTCTTGAAGCAGACAAAAATATAACTTCAAAACTTACAGATATTTCTAAAGGAAAGTTTATAATACAATATTATGTCAAAACTGGCGTACTGTCAATATTTGACGGAGAGAAGTCAGTTCAAGAACAACTTACTGACCTGCTGCCAAAATCTGCTCGATGGAAGCTGTCGTTATGCCAATCTGAGGAGCCCCAGCAGGTTTCATCGAACGAATTTTCAAAAGAGCATCTTCCGTGAAAAGTGCTATTGGTTTTGTAAACTTCTTTGCTTTCAATTCATCTGGACCGTCTCTGTCACCAGTATATTGTATTTGAACTGTACCAACAGTTGAAATACCACCCATAAAGTCTTCTGAGTCAGCAAATGGAATGCCAAGCCAAAAGTTTGAACGGTCTCCATTTGTATATTGAGTTTTTTGACCTCCTGTATGGGTCCATACTTTCACATATGGCATAATAGAACTTTGCATTTCAGGGTTAATGGTTGTTGTGAAGTTGTTGTTAAAGTTCATAGCATCTAATGTCAAGTTGTATGACCTCATATCCTCAACTGTAGAATATTCTTCTCTTGGATAATATTTGCCATCTATGTTTATATGATATTTAATACCAGGGTTGTAGAAACAAGAATAGTCATTTATAGTTCGTCTGAAAAGAACAAACATAGTATCTGCATGTTTCATTGCAGTTGTTAAGGCAATATCTGTTCTTGCACCTGGGTCAGCACTTTGGTTTCCAACTTCACCTGCAAAGTCTTTGACAGATATTTGGTGTATAGGGAACATAAGTGGAACTGCAATATATTTGGCAGCTAAAGCATTTGAAATATCTGGGTCCAACATATAGACTGCAAGTCTGCTTTCTATTCTCTTGCATTCAAATTTTTCGCATGTGAACTTAACTGGGTCCCAAGCATCTCCAGCAGCATTGAAATAATAGTTTACTTCAGTGTTGAGGTTTGAGAAACCAAAGTCTAAGTCAACTTTGTCTTTGCAAAATTCGGCGAATGACGTTTTATTTGTTCCCTTTACGTCTGTAAGAGTGAATGGGTCTTGTGTTGGTGCAATGACTAAGTTATTTTTGCTTGGAGTAAGTTCGATAGAAATTTTTCCTGCCCAGTTTGGCAAGTATCTTAAAAACCTGAAGATGAGGAAAGATGACAAAGGAACTCTAAGTTTCAGTTTTACTTTAGTGGCAGCAGTTCCATCTGAACCAGAAAGGTTAACATAAACTCCTGGAACGTTAGGGTCAAGTCTTCTTATTTTCTCAATAGTTGCATACTGGTCTGTTTGTTCTCTAGCTTGTGGTTGTACTGAGTTTCTTAAAGCGAACCATTCATAGTTTGCCCATGTTACTGTTTGAACTAAGTCAGAGTTAGAATATATCTTATATCCCATGAAAACTTCTGGAGCATATTGGTATCCGACATAGAAAATTCCATTGCAACCTTTCTTTTCAGACAACTTGGCAGAAGGTTTTATTTCAATGTCTTGTTCCACGTATAAGAAAGAGTTGTCAATAGAAATAATATGAAACCTGTCGCAAGCAATATCTACTGTTGTTGAAGAACCTTCTCCAAACTCACCTACGTTTCCATAAGAAACAGCAGTTGTATATTCGTAAGTTCCAGGAACTATTTCTGACCTTCTAATGGCATTGTCGCATTCGTTATACCATTCGGAAACATTTCCATTCATGGCATCCAAAACTGTTGGCGTTATATTCTGAGCGGCGTACATTTCATATGGGTAAAAATATAGAATAGTTGGATTTATATGTCATAATAGAACCCACTCGGACCAAGCTTTACTTTCTTCCTGACTGAGTTTTTAACTCTTCTTTTTCCTTCATTGCCACTACTTTCACTAGATGAAGTTACTTCTTCACTACTTTCACTTTGTTCTACTCTTCTCTTCTTCTTTGGTGTCGCTTTTGGTAACTTGCCCTCTGCTTCAAGTTGTTGCATCTTTGCCTCATGTTCACCTAGTATGTTGTAAATTTCCCATGTCCTTTTTGCCTTTGGGCTCTGGTCGCCCATCTCAGGTAACCTATATCCTAGAAAGATTTTGTCATAGTTTGTATTTGAGTCTTCGCGTATTGTTTGCATGACTCTTTCCTGAGTTTCCGGTTCAAGCTCTTCAATCAGAGCTTTGTCCATATGGAATAAGCTCGTTTCCAAATATATGTTTTTGTAGCCATTCTGGTTTTCTTTCCATGTTACCAATAATATCTTTTGTGAATGGGAAAGCTTTTACCCAATGTTTCAGTCTTTCGTCATTTATTTCTGTAGTTGGTTTTATTTTGTCAAGGAACATGTTTTTCAATACTAACATTTCATTTGGTACTGTCCATTTGAGTTTTCTTAAATATTCATCCCTTCTCGGTTCATTGTCTGCAAAGTAAGTTTTTATGACATTTTGTAAACTTTCGTTTGCAAGGTCATGTACAATAGGTTCTCTTCCTTCTCTCTCCCTAACTGTCTTTCTAAACTCTTCACCAAATATACCATCTCTATGGTTCTGTGTAGTTCTTTGAGATAAATGTTTTAGAACGTCAGGTGTTATATTTCCATCAGCCATGTTCATTTCATACTGGTTCAAAATATCTGCATCTTTCATATCTTTCAATGGCATTAAAGCCGCGCTGAAAATACCAGCTATATCTGGTTCACCATTCACTTCCATTGCGTCTACAACTTCTTGGAATTGTGGTTGTAAGTTTATGAACCACCTATCCGGATTAGCTTTATGACCCCATCTCATTGTAGTTCCATAGTCTGCAGAAACAAAAGTAGGTTTGTTTCCATATTGGTTAGGTTCTGAATGAACTTTAAACAATGTTTCATTTCTATATGTTTTGTTGAAATTTAACCTTTTATTTTCACCGAGTTCAGCCAAAGATTGAACGTTATATGGTCGTAAGTAAAAAGGATTGTTGTATTTGCGTACATTATCTTTCAGTACTTCCATTCTATGCTGAATATTTTCATCTGATGTTGGAGTCTTTTGTATGTCGGCAAACATTTTTCGATATTCTTCTACTATGTCAGCCGAATTTTTTTTAGACTCTTGGAAAGATTCCATATTCACCTCATACTCTTGTTGAGGGTCAAGATTTTTCGGCTGTTCCAAATCTTCATCTAGTTCTGTGAGGTTAGTTTCCAAAGGAGGGACTTGTTCGTTTCCTTCAGGCTCTTCTAGCTGTTGTTGCTGAACTATTTCTTCCATGTCTGGTTGTATCTGAACTTCTTCCTGTTGAGTTTCTTGTACCTCATCTGCTGGCATTTCATATATTCCGAGACCGTTTTTAAAAAGTTCCCTATCTAAGTCATCCGGACTCATAAACCTTTCTTCTTTCGTTCCGTCTCTATTTTTTACGCGTTTCATGAAGAGAGTTGAATTGTCATTTAGCTCTGACACCAAATATCTCGGAGTAAATTCGTTCATGTCATTTGGATGATATGCTATTAAATCATATCCCTTAGCGAGCTTGTATTTTCCAGGTTTGAAATTATATCCCATTTGGTGCTGAACCATAAAGCTAAATAGGTTCGGGTCTGTATTTCCTTCCTTGAACTTTCTAATAGCTTCTTTATATCTGTCACTAAAGTCAAGAGTATCTGGGTAACCATATTCTTCCTTAAGCATTTTTAAGAAATCTTGGTTTCCTTGTTCTCTACTTCTTTTATGTCCTTGCTCTGTTTGTGGTTGTTGTGCTGGTTGTGGAGGTGGTTGTTGTGCAGGGTTTTGAACTGTTGGTTGCTGTGCTGGTTGTGGAGGTGGTTGTTGTGCAGGGTTTTGAACTGTTGGTTGCTGTGCTGGTTGTGGAGGTGGTTGTTGTGCTGGTTGTTGTTGTTGTTGTGGTGCTGGATTTTGAACTGTTGGTTGTTGTTGTGTTGGTTTTGGTGCATGCCTGTGTCTGTGTCCATGTGACGATGTAAATGTTTTAGGTAGTCCTGGTGCAGGTGCTTCTCTTGGAGGGTTTGGTGGTATATAAGTTCCACTAGCTAGTATATAAGTTCCACCAGCTGGTATATAAGTTCCACCAGCTGGCACATATGTTCCATCTGCAGCATAATGTCCTACCTGACTTTTCGTTCTTAAGAAAGCATTTACTAGGTCTCTTTTGGTCTGTTGTAACTCTTTTTCTTGACTTTCCACAACAGCTGTTCTAACGGCGTCATGGGCACTTTGAACTGCCTGTCTCGTTGCTGCATCTGTTATTTTCGTCATATTTTGTGCTACTTCTTTTAACTCTTTGTCGAAACCTTCAGACTTCAGTTTCTTTCCAGATGAGAAGTCGTTCACTAGTTTCACCTTACTATGAAGAGCTTCGAAGGCGTTCTTAAAGTCAGCATTCGTTAAAGCTTCATTTGAACTGTCTTCATCCGCTTGTATTTTTGTCCTTATTGACCCTATAAGTTGGGCTGCTTTAGCGTTGGCTTGGGCGTCTAACCAGTCATTATTAGCTTTTATATATTCTGCGCTTTTCATTGCCTTTTGCATGGCTGCGTCGTTATTTTTACTTTCTTGTGCTAAGTTTTCATACTGTACGGTTTGGTTTTGCAACTGTAAAAGTTTTTCTGCCTTTACATTTGCTTCAACTTCTTTTTTATACTCATCGCTATCCATATATGTCTTCAGGGCTTTTTGTTTTATTTCTTCATCTTTCAGTACTTTATATTGAGTAGTATGGTTTTTCAAATTTATAACATCTTGTTCCATTTTTGCTACTTCTGCTGCTTTTTCTGACACTTTTTTCGCATATTCCTCTGTACTTAGTTCTTTCAGTTGTTCTTCTTTCTTCTTTTTCTCTACGTTTAACTCATTGAGTTTCTTTGTGTGTCTGTCATATTCTAGTTTCTTTTCGTTTTCACTTATTTGTTTCTGTATGTCTATGTTTGACTTTTTGACATCTGTTATTTGATTTTTGAGTGAACTCAAATTCATTTGACTTTGAGGGTTATAAGCTGTTCCGTCTGCAGCTCCACCATAGCCTGCCATTTTCGCTAAAAGTGCCGCTCTTAAACCTCCACTCTGTGCACCAATAACTCGGTTTAAAAGCATAGGGTTGCTTGACATTTGTTGCAACATAGTGGGGTCATTCAGCATTTGTTGTTGCAACTGTTGTTGTGGTGTCAGTTTTACTATTGGATGTTTCAATGCTCCCTTCCTCTTACGTATATTCTTACGTAGCTTACGTGGCATTTTAAGTGAAGTTAAAAAGCGGTTTTATACTAAACATCTTCGGGGCTAGAGGGCGCAACGCGCCTGGAAGCCCCACTACCTTTTTTTTTTCAAGTAGATGTGATTTGATTCTGTACAACTAAATATTAATATATTTAAAACATTGTAGAATTAAAATTTTTGACGATATCAATTTATAAAAAAAATGCAAGCGAATCCTTTTAATAAAGCTAAGATACGATTTGCTTCACTTTGTCCACCTAGTAAAGTGTTCAACACAGGGAGCATGGACTGGGAAGCATGTGGGCTACTTGCATTAGCCGGTAAAGGCACAATTTATCTCTATAAAACTACTAAAAATGATATTTCTTTCTTATGATCCATTGAAATTCTAAATTCTAACATAACTTGCCTTAAATTCCACTATGAGCTACCTTATCTTGCAATTTCAGACGATTGCGGAAGAGTTTTGTTATGGGATTGTGAATCAGGTCTTACACTCGGAATCACTCGTCAAGTATCTGAAGCTCAGTATGTATCGGAGCTTCAATGGTCCCGTAAAATCGTTTTAGGCTTTGCAGAACCAAATACAATTTATAGTATCGATTTTTGGCCGTATGAAGCTGAAGATCAAGCGAAAAACTCACGAATACTTTGGAAGATAGATGTTCCTGGTACATATACAAGGATGGCTGTTAATAGTTCAGATATATTCACTGCAATTCTATATTCTAATGGTCCATCCTTTACAATTATCACGTCAAAGAATGCCAAGCAGGCTCCAACATCTCAATCTCAATCCCATACTTTAGATAAATCAGAAAAAATCGTAGAAATTCAACATCATCCCCATATTAGTAATATTTTATTAATTATGCTTGAAGGAAAAATACTTACGTTTAACATAGCGACCAAATCTGGCCGAAATCTTGTAATCGATGAATCATCCCAATCATCTTTCCATAAACTGCTTCCTTCTTTAACAAATGACAACGAAATTACAGTTTATGGTCAAGACTCGTCACTCAGTATCTATATCTGTAACGAAGACTACATTTTTACAAAATCAGGAACAATAAAATTGAAAAGAGAGCTGTTTGACTTAAAATCGAAGTATTTACCACTATCCGCTGCATGTAACCGTGCACTTCCCGAGCGATACATCGCGTTCTCTCCATCAAATGGCTTAGTTATGTTTGCCATAAAAGATGATATACCTTACGTCATCGCGCAGTCTCAAATTATACCACAGATACCAACCTGTTACGATTTCTACGACGGAATCCTTGCTTTCGGCACTCCAACCGGAAAGATAATTTTCGCAGACGTTTCAGAAGGGAAATACACACAGAACTACCTTGCATCCAGCACATCCATTGAAAAGATCAAGTTCCTTACCAAAGATGTCCTTCTGTGGTACTCAAAAACCGAGTGTGGATCAATAAATCTTCCCAAGCGCCAAGTTATTCCAATCCACACTCGCCTTGGCCCTGCCACAGACCTAATATGTTCAGAGGAGCTCGGCGTTTTCGTCCACGGCAAATACGACCTTGGTATTTTTTATGATGTCAAACAAAAGCCGATGACTCTTCAAACATCCATCACCGCTGTTGCAGTCCAAGTATCCAGAATACCAGCAACATGTTTCCAAGGCGATACTCCCAATTTCGCCGTATTATTATCTACCGGAGAAATCCAAGTCTACACATACAAGAACGGCATAGCACAGATGCCTGTTCTGAGGCTGCGTAACTCACGGGAGAACTCCAGGACAACTTGTCTTGCTTGGAAAGGCGATTGCATCATAACTGCTGACACAGACGGCGTAATTATGTTTTACGACTTTGCTTTCGGTACATCGAAGCAAACATACTCTCCTTTCATCGACATAGACAGGATAGAGTTCGAGAGATCATCCAGCGGATTGTACGTACACGCGAGAGACGGAAAATTTGGTTTTTCACTTGAAAAAGTGGAAAGTTGTCCTTTTTCTGTTTCCTCATTCGCTGTAACAGGAAATGGACTCGTCCTCGTCTCCCCGCTCAATGACGAAGCCGTGAAATTCGTTATTGCAAGAGACTGGAGATCTGTAAAAAGAATCACTTCACCTGCCCTCTTAAAACCGCTAAAAACCGCCCAGCAACGGTTAGAGCTTATGGGTGAGCAATTATTAACGAATCCTACTACAGGAACATGGTCAGAAGCACTTCAAATAGCTGAGATAGCTAATGACCATGGATTTCCAACTGATTCCATTATTTGGAAGTGTGTTTCACGTAGTTTGGGAGGTCCGAGGTTGCAAGCACGACATTCCATGTTTGGAGGGAAAGAAGAAGTTGTTTCCGCGTTGAGGATTCAATCTTCTCTGTTTTCTCCTGCAGATACTCCGATTTCTGCCATTTTCAACTTGTTGTTCAAGTTCAGAATGGGTGATAGAAGAGGAGCTGTCGAAGTTTTCAAGAGTCTCTCCAACAAAAGCGAGTTCACAATAGTGGCAAGCATTTGTTCGGCGTTGCTTCTGTGATAGAAACTGTAATTTTAACCGTTGAGTCTTCAGAAATCTTTGAAGGAGCTGCAATTTGGAAAATTTTTTCACTTTAGGAGAATATAATTTTCTCTCAAAATATACAAAAATAATATACTTTAAAACCATCGTGACAAAATTCAAAAACGAAGAGTTCTTCTCTCCAAATTTTTTTCAAAATCAAAAAAATGAGATAAAAAAGTACGTTTGGAAAATTCATTTTTAGCATTTTAGGAATTTTCTCACTTTTCTTCCAAATTGACATCCTTAATTAAATTAAATTACACATTAACACCGGAGCCGGAATCATCTTGGATATCAGATGATGATTTATCTTTAGATGGTTTCCTGCAGAAAACGAAGTAGATGATGAGAATAATAAGAATAACAGCAAGAAGAACGCCAATAACAATACCAGCCTTCTGTCCACCAGTAAGTCCACTATTTTCAGGTGTTGGTGTTGGCTTGGAATCATCAGGGCTTGGTGCAACGTATTGTTGTTTCTGAAGTGAAACCTCCGTTTCAATGACATTGGATCCAGCTAACCTAATTTGAAGTTTAACTTTTCCATCTTCTTTGATATCTTCATACTTTGGAGCTGGAATGTTGAGTAGATATGTTTTGCCTTCGTCGGCATGTAATTTCTTAATTGCAGATGGGGTTTCTACTTCAGTTACATTGTCGTCTGGGAGATCTATCCATTTCTGATCTGCATAGAATCTATATTGGAAGCTTCCTGTCTTTGCCTCAAAGTGTTGTAATGTAACTTTAACTGGAATATATTCACCGGCCTTGAATGGTTGTGTATGATTTTCAGCAACAACAGTTGCCGCAGATAAATATGGAGACTTTCCAAGAGAATATGTAACATTACCGGTACCTAAGTTGGATTTATGATCGGCGTCGGTCTCAACAACAACAAGTAACTTTGTCTTATTATGATCCTTTGTAGCGTTAACTTTGAAAGTCCATTCTTTCTTGTTCCCGCTTGCTACGGCTGTTGCATTGAGAACATTTTGTGATATTGCGACGCTAGTGGCAGAGGCGTTGGAAGCTTCGCTTTCTGTTGCAAAGAGATAATATGTCTTTGTAATATTTAAGCCTGTTTCGAGTATGATTTTGGCTGTGTATGGATTGCCTGAAATTACTTCGTTGCCTTCGTTGTATTGAACACTCTCGATAACTGGTGGGGACTGTGGAAGAATATGTAACATTACCGGTACCTAAGTTGGATTTATGATCGGCGTCGGTCTCAACAACAACAAGTAACTTTGTCTTATTATGATCCTTTGTAGCGTTAACTTTGAAAGTCCATTCTTTCTTGTTCCCGCTTGCTACGGCTGTTGCATTGAGAACATTTTGTGATATTGCGACGCTAGTGGCAGAGGCGTTGGAAGCTTCGCTTTCTGTTGCAAAGAGATAATATGTCTTTGTAATATTTAAGCCTGTTTCGAGTATGATTTTGGCTGTGTATGGATTGCCTGAAATTACTTCGTTGCCATCGTTGTATTGAACACTCTCGATAACTGGTGTGGGGACTGTGGAAGAATATGTAACATTACCGGTACCTAAGTTGGATTTATGATGGCGGCGTCTCAACAACAACAAGTAACTTTGTCTTATTATGATCCTCTGGAGCGTTAACTTTGAAAGTCCATTCTTTCTTGTTCCCGCTTGCTACGGCTGTTGCATTGAGAACATTTTGTGATATTGCGACGCTAGTGGCAGAGGCGTTGGAAGCTTCGCTTTCTGTTGCAAAGAGATAATATGTCTTTGTAATATTTAAGCCTGTTTCGAGTATGATTTTGGCTGTGTATGGATTGCCTGAAATTACTTCGTTGCCTTCGTTGTATTGAACACTCTCGATAACTGGTGTGGGGACTGTGGAAGAATATGTAACATTACCGGTACCTAAGTTGGATTTATGATTGGCGGCGAACTCAACAACAACAAGTAACTTTGTCTTATTATGATCCTCTGGAGCGTTAACTTTGAAAGTCCATTCTACTTGTTCGTATTTATATCCAGTGAAGATAGAATAGAAGTTTGGAGATGGTGTATAGAACTTTATACCTCGAACTGAAAAATCTTCTAACTTTGACAATAAGATATCCCAAGCATCTAACATCTTCCTTCCAACTTGTACAACTTTTATTTTCTTAAGTTTCTGTCTACATTCTTGTTCAGACACTATTGTTGCTCTTGGTTTGTTAAAGACAACATCCCATTCTTTCATGACATAACATTCTGGGGCAGAGTCAACATAAATGACTAAACGTTTCAAATTCTCGACTGCTTTGTTATAGTCTCGAAATGGACACATATTTCTGAATGCTTGGAAGTCATAAAAATCTGAAACATCTATTCTGTACATTTTTTTATAAAAATAAAAAAAAATATTTTTTTATTCTTGAGCTTGTTGTTCCATTTGAGCATTTGTTGTTCTTGAGCTATTTGTTGTTGAAGTTGTTCTTGTAATACAATACTTTCACCAGTTGCATCTTCCAATTCGAAACTTTCTGCCGTCATTGACAAATACATAGGACATAAAAGTTTTACAGGAACAAAGTTTGCGTCAACTAAGGTTAAGTTTATGTTTGCTAAAGTGTTTGAGTTTACTAAAGCTGAAAACTCTGCATTCGAATGAACAATAGGCAAACCAGCAGAGAAAGTATTGTTTATACGCATAAGTATCTTTTGGTCATAATAGTTTCTGTCGACATTCGAATAACACTTTGAACCTAAGTTTGAAACAATATATAAGATTGGTGTGCTTAAAGTCAATGGAACAGACATTCCTTGTATGACACCTTTTCCTGTTATAGGAAACTGTTGGTAGTAAAAACCAGATATAAGTTTTGTATTATAACTCATATCGTTTATAGTAAACTCAGTCGGACATCCAAACATAATGAAACCTGCTCTAGTTGCAGCACATGTTACACCCGTCCTTAAAGTATTAAATAAGTCAACAAAACCTGTTGGTGGTATATCTGAGTAAGTATCTTCAAAGGAGTATTTTTTACCATTCACAACAATAAAGTCTTCTGGTGTCAAAAGAGCAAAACAGGCTTTAGTCGTCATTGTGTTTAAGGTTAGTTTACAATATCGTCCTTGAGGACTTTGTAAGTTTGTTGTTATAGAATTATATGACTCAGGGTTTTTAGTCGTAATAGTATAAACCATTATGTCTTCTGCCATTTACTTAGCAAATAAATTTTAATGAAATGTTGTGGTCGTCAAATATTTTTATAACGTCTGGGAAACTATATTTTAAGTTCAACGTTTCACCTCCTTTCATAACGTATATCTTGTCAATGACATTATATGAAACACCACAGCAACTAATGTCGGGTTCTATTTCTTTGATGTTTATATCGTCTGCCTCTGTCAAAAGTTTCAATAGTTCTTTCAAAACTTCATGAGGTGCAATGACATATGAGTTCACTTTTACAGGGTTGTGTTCGACCAAGTTTAACATTATACTTAAAGCTTGACAAATCTTCTCCTGAGTTTTAAGTTTGTCTTTCAGTTGTTGGTAGTCGTTTCGAATATCTGCAACAGAACTTAAGTCTCTGCTAACTTCAGGATATGTTGGTTGTTCTTTTACAGGAACTATTGTTATACCATCTTCGTCTTCGTATGGTTTCCCCACTTCAACATCTCTGTCTTTGACATTGACAACAACACTTTGACTGTTTGTTTGAGTTGGTGAATTTAACTTCACATCTGCCACCGCCATTAAACCTTTTGAAACACTTACACTTCTATTTTTCGGAAATGACATTTTACTTAGAATAAAAAGATGGACGTATTCAGATATCTCTTCGAATTGAAGCAAAACAAAGTTTACACACACAAACAATACAAATACATTGACAGAATAGTTCTTTACACAAACAATGGAAAATGTTATAGAATAGCAGTCTTTGCTGAACCTAAATATTTTCATAAAGCAAAGAAAGTTGGTATAACTGAAATGGTGAAAGTTCTTGAAGCAGACAAAAATATAACTTCAAAACTTACAGATATTTCTAAAGGAAAGTTTATAATACAATATTATGTCAAAACTGGCGTACTGTCAATATTTGACGGAGAGAAGTCAGTTCAAGAACAACTTACTGACCTGCTGCCAAAATCTGCTCGATGGAAGCTGTCGTTATGCCAATCTGAGGAGCCCCAGCAGGTTTCATCGAACGAATTTTCAAAAGAGCATCTTCCGTGAAAAGTGCTATTGGTTTTGTAAACTTCTTTGCTTTCAATTCATCTGGACCGTCTCTGTCACCAGTATATTGTATTTGAACTGTACCAACAGTTGAAATACCACCCATAAAGTCTTCTGAGTCAGCAAATGGAATGCCAAGCCAAAAGTTTGAACGGTCTCCATTTGTATATTGAGTTTTTTGACCTCCTGTATGGGTCCATACTTTCACATATGGCATAATAGAACTTTGCATTTCAGGGTTAATGGTTGTTGTGAAGTTGTTGTTAAAGTTCATAGCATCTAATGTCAAGTTGTATGACCTCATATCCTCAACTGTAGAATATTCTTCTCTTGGATAATATTTGCCATCTATGTTTATATGATATTTAATACCAGGGTTGTAGAAACAAGAATAGTCATTTATAGTTCGTCTGAAAAGAACAAACATAGTATCTGCATGTTTCATTGCAGTTGTTAAGGCAATATCTGTTCTTGCACCTGGGTCAGCACTTTGGTTTCCAACTTCACCTGCAAAGTCTTTGACAGATATTTGGTGTATAGGGAACATAAGTGGAACTGCAATATATTTGGCAGCTAAAGCATTTGAAATATCTGGGTCCAACATATAGACTGCAAGTCTGCTTTCTATTCTCTTGCATTCAAATTTTTCGCATGTGAACTTA